AAATGGCTTTGGGCAAGGACTGAAGAAATCTCTACTCAGGTTGCCGAAATTCGGCCTCCGTACACAAGTGGTGGATCAAATCTTGGAGACAGAGTTTTGGGTGAAGTAGAAAGAAATAGCTTTATTGGGGCCACAATGGACTAATGCCCTCAGAACTGTGTGTCCCACCCTGGAGGGGATAGTGAGGAGCCTCCCAGTGTTCACGAAAGCAGGGCGTGATCAGCTCGTGGACATTCTGCTGATTGGTTGGAGGTGAAGTATTTGGGAGTCAGCGTCAACCTCTTTCCAACCGGTCTGGGGTCTACATGCTTGTGGGCAGCAGACAGTTAACTTCTTCCACCTGGTGGGGGTTTCAGTATCTGCAAAACAGCTCAAAGGACATGGCTCAGAATATCATCTATAGTCCTTAAGGAAGAACTAAAGGTCCTTGACTTTGTTTAATGGCTAAAGTATTATTATTTTGTCTTGCTTGACGGTTTTCCTTTCTGCATTTCCTCACTTCTCTGATTAAATTTATTCTTTTAAAGCTTTTCTGCAGGCAAAATGCAGGCGGAGGACACGAGTGGGGGTCTATTCTGGGAAGGCCTCATACGGTCCTGCTCAGTTACATGCATGCCATGATTCATAAGGACCTAGTTTCTCCATCAGTCAGTGGAATTTGGGTCAGAGAACTGGCTCAGGTCTGGAAACTTAGAAAGTGATCATGACTTTTTACTATCGTGGCTGCGTTCAGCCTCCTTGCTTTGGTTGTATAGACTGAGCAATAGTCTCATTTGCTGCCCATCTGTCATGTCCCTTGGGATGTGGTGCTGTATCAACCACCTCCCGAGTTCTCTGTGAGTCAGACCTCCCTGACTGCCTCTGACCTCGCCACTCATGATGACAATTGCACCTATCTTGTTTTTGAGAGTTAAGCATTGCCACCTGGCCTCTGTTATTTTGGAAGTCTGTTGTCTCCATTGCTATCAGAAAATCCTGCTCTGTCCCAGCATCTGCTACCAGCAGCCTTGGCCTACGGAGGACAGCCCACGACTGAGCTGGAGGCCTCCTCCTCAGCACGATCCTTATCGCTTTGGACAAGAACACTGTATCCCAGGAACTGAGTTGGCTAGTGGTTTTTTGGCCTTACACGGTATATCCTACTTCTGTGAGTCTTTTGACTTCTTCTGCCAGTGTTTACCACTGTAGTTCTGGCATTTCTACCTATTTAGTGTGGGCTATTTCTTTTTCCAAGCTTCCAAGGGCCTACCAAATACTATTACCTGGGGTCTTTGCCAAGCTATTAAATCCTGTGTTGTAGGCTTATCTCCCTTTTCCAGCTGTGTATTCTGTTCCTCTTCATCCAGCGCAGTCCCATATATGCTCTCCTGCTTTGCCAGTTCACGCTGCAGTCCTGCAGCTCTTCCATATAGTCCTCTTCTACCTTGAGCCATCACAGCATTTCCCCAGGTGGGCTACATTGTGACTTAATCCTGGCTATCATTCTGGTGGTTGCGAGTGGAAAGTGGAATAGATGGTTGGGGGTGAGGGCAGACGTGTACACGGCAGAGGCCTCTACATCATCAAGCACATGCATACATCCCCAAGAGACTAGCATCAGCCTCTAACAGGGAAGAATGAGCTACTTCTATAGATCGAAAACATTCAGTGAAACTTAAGATTTTCAAATACATCAACCCAGGTGACTTCATTTCAGGTATCAGCATCCCATTTTTCTCCCAGTCAAGGCCTTGACCTTAGTGTGGCAGACTTGGTGAGGCTGGGAATTTAAACTTCTCTGGAACTCTGATACTCCTAACATTTAGTTTTTTGGTCCAGCCCCAGATTTTTTTGCCCTCTGGCTGCAGGATATGTGAATCATTTTATAAGCTGTCAAATAGATCCTCTGGCTTTCACACTTGGGCTGAAATTGGCAATTAATCACTGTCATTTAATAAATTAATTTAATAATTTATTAAATTATTAGGTTAATTTAATAAATTAACGAGCCCCACCTCCCCCAGTGGCCATCCAACTCCAAAGTTCTTATAATTGCTTTTCCCTAAAACATCTGGGATTTTGCATATGTTGGTACATTTAATAAATTAATAAATTAATTTAATTTAATAATTTAACAAGCCCCGCCTCCCCCAGTGGCCATCCAACTCCAAAGTTCTTATAATTGATTTTCCCTAAAACATCTGGGATTTTGCATCTGTTGGTACATTCCCTTCCACTGGCATCCCATTCCAGTCTTCCACTGGTGAAAATTTTAACAATTGCCATACCATTCCAGGGGCTATCAGTCCCCACTGTCACTGGAGATGGGGTTCTCATTACCAGAAGGCTGGTAGGTAATCCAACTTCAAAATTTCGTCTTAGAATCTTTTTCTAGGACTACTTTTTGTAGCAACCATATGGGTTGAATTCCTTAGGAAAACAGATTCTGAGATTTTGAGATTCGCATGTAGGTTTTTAATTAAGTGGTACTCTAGGGACCAACACTTGAGAGGGGTCAGGGAAGCAGGACTAGGCAGAGGTTGTACTGTGATACAAGTGCACAGAGATCTGGGGCTGGGACAATCCATGAGTTGTGCCACATAAGGCGAAATGGCTTAGCCTTTATAACTCTCCTAGATTTGTCCTTGGAGGTGGACTGCCCCAAGGAAGGAGAGTGACTTTGGGCAAAGTGGCTGTGTTTGGCTGAGGACAGTTGCTAGAGAGGACTCAGCTGAGAGCTATCAGCTGTTGACACTCAAAGCAGCTACGGGAGTGAGTGTCTCAGTCCTGAAAGGTGGCACACCATAGCATCCACTACACCTGCATTTCCTGATTTTAAAAATGACACGGCCATCCACTGTCTAGTTCTTCCCACTCCTGACAGCAATCTTAATTTCCATCCACGTCTTTTCCTTTTCTAATGGACCCATAAATCATAATCCAGGTACAGTACTGTCTTGGCAACATACTAAGTAGAGTTGTACTCAACTTTTGAAAGCCCTCTTTTAACATTGAAAAACGTCACAAATTTCCACATAATAGTACCATAATAGTAACTGAATGAATATCCATTAAAAAATAATAAAAGCTATTATAAATTTAGTAACTGGTTTAATCACATGAGCACCCATGTATAATACCAAAAAATGTTATGTATTTATATAATGACATTTCTTGTTCTGGTGACAGAGACAGTACTTGGTGCACACATAAACTCACGAAATACCTGGATTAGGATGCTACCTATAGTTGTGTTCAAGAATGGAACGGCCAGCTGAATGGAACGGCAGGTGGAGGCCAAAATCCAGCCCAACCTCTAATCACCAAGACTTTCACCCCATCATAGGGCTGACTGTACTGAAGGAACGTGGGACTTTTTCTAAACCAGTTGCCCTAACAGGCTACCATTTAGGTCTCCTTTTTCCTACTTAGGATAAAGGCACCTCTATGCCAGCCTTGGACGACCTGCCTCGTGACTAAGTACAAGCCTCAACTCCAGAGCCAGACAGTCCTAGATGTGGATTCTGGCTTTGCTGCTTACTTGCTGTTAACCTTATCCATCTTCCATCTAAGGCTGAGTCTCCTTTGTAAAATGGGATTATATCTCCCTCTGTGTGGTTGTGGTGTTCAGGTAGCAAATGAATGCCACCTACCTTCACAGATCTTTGTTTTTATCAACCTTATTTAGGTATAATTTACATAAAATGTACAAACATTAAATGTACGTTGTGATGAGTTTTGACAATGTAAACCGGTGACCAGATAGGTAAACTGTGTGCTTTTTATACTGTCCAGAGATTGTACCAGGCCCTGCCTGTGGGAGTTACAAAGTAAAACAAAGCACCCTTAATCTGGTTAACCCCTGGATTAGGTTAGGCCTGGGATGTATATATTCAGAGCCCCTACTTCCTCTGCATAACAAATCACACTGTCACTCTCCTGAGGGCAAGACCTTCCAGCTTGTTCTCTGCCGTATCCCCAGCACCTCGCAGTGTAGGTATGGGCACTCCATAAGCATTTGTTGAAAGACAAATGAACATGTAAAGTTAACAGTGAGTGTCATGATGAGTATGTGCCAAATAAAAGTCATTCATCTGGAGAAGACCCAGATCAACCCTGTGGGTTAGGGTAATTAGTAAAGGTCTGCAGCGAAGGCAGCATTTCAAAAGGCTCAGATTTCAATAATATTTAGGAAAACTCCAGAGTTAAGACAAGCAGTGGGTAAAGATTAAAAGGGTGGCCTCAAACACTTGCCTAGAGCACACATTGCATGTACCCTGGTGGCGTTAACATTATCAATGTTGTAACCTTTATTGAGCGTCTGCACCACCAGATTTCTGGGCAGGGCCCTGGGATTAGCTGACCATAGCTGCACGGCAAAGCCCTCCCTCTCACCAACGGGCAGACACTAATAGAGATATAAGCCACATGCACCCAAAAGGGCAAGGAAAGGCATCTTCTTCCGACGTCTCCGCCCTTAAAGCACACACGGTTTGCTCCGCGACGACCAAGCCGGAGGGAGAGGGCGGGGATCTTCACGGCGCCCTCTTCTGGAGAAGGATAGACTCCACCCTCCCCAATCCCCGCCCTTCTTTGGGGTGAAGCAGGTTGCCCGCCGAGTTGTGTCGCCGCAGAAATGTCAGTGACATGCCCATGACTGCCAATGAATTACAGGTTCTGCAGGCTCGTACCTACAAATGAGAGTGGACCTCCACGATTCGAGGCCCACAAGCCCCTCCTCAACCGCCCTAGCGGGTCAGGGCTCCCGGAGCCCTCCCCGCCCCCGTCCGCTGAGCAGGCGGGTCCTCGGCCCCAGCCTCTCCTACAGACGGCAGCTCTCAAGTTCCCTTGCCCCGCAGCCTCTAGTCGGAGGGCTACGTCGGGACAGGATGGAGATTTACACCTCCGGACTCATTCCCATCCAGCCCCAGCATCCCCGAGAGTCCGCGTGTCTCAGCTTAAACACCACAGAATAGGAGGATACGGCTCCCTTAAGGCGGGCGCGCGCGCAGCAGGCCGGAAGTGACGTTTGACGTGCGGCCTGTTCCCGCCCTGCCTTTCGCCGCTGTTCGGTGGCGGGAACTCGGGCTGCTTGCTGACGGCGGCTACCGTAAGGGTTTCCCCCAGCCATTCTGGCGGCTCGGGACTTCCTGGGCCTGAGAGTCTCCGCTTGGGGAACGGGGCTAAGACTTCGCGACCACCTCGCCCTTTCCCTGCTGCGGAAACCTCAGGAACGAGCCGGTGGCGTCCTAGCTCTCAAGACGTGCAGCTAAAAGGCCCAGGCAGTGCCCGGGGACACACGCGGGGAGCCGGGGAGAACAGGTGACCAGCCGGAGAAATTGCGAGGACTGCCTTCGCTTTCCTTTACTCCTGTGCCCTCGATACCCCTGTGATGTCTTCCACCTCTTGCGCACTCCTTGGTCTACGGGTGGCTCAATCCAGCATCCTTCAGAGCCCTGCTTTGGGCGGTATTACTGTTTGGCAGCCTGTGGCAGGGGCTGAGTAATCCAATAACGTTAAAAACCCTAGTTGTTTACAGATGTTAACAATTTATTTTATTTATTGATTATATCCATATGCTAAGCACAGACAGAGCTGTGTGTTTGCACGATTCTTTTATTTGACCCAGTTGCCTTATGAAATGGGCCTTAGCTCATTTACAGAAGGCGAAACTGAGTCTGATAAGTGGTAATTCAGTCACCAAATCTTATGGAGCATCTATTCTGTACCAGGCACTGGAGACACAGCAGTGAAAAAAATAGAATTGCCATTAATGCTGGGGATTTTCAGACAAACTATCCCTAAAAACAGCCTTTTGCTGCCTGGAGAACGTTTACCTGAATGTTAATAGTGCTTATCTTCTGGGTGAGATTTTGAATTTTTAAAACTCCTCATGCTTTTCCAAATTGTTTTGGTTTCTTCAAATGACCATGCTGTGAGAAAAACAGCTGTTTCCATTTTAACAACAGTGTCTCGCCTCCCCCCCGCCGCCCCCCCCCCCCTTCCCCTCCCCACAAAAGCTTCTGTCTGAAGGCAGGCACGGGCTCTGCCCATAAAATAGGCTCTCCAGTGGCGCTTTAGGCCCAAGAGAAGTGGAGGTTCTCATTTTTGGTCGCAGTACTACTCCTAATTGCTGAGTTCATTCCAGGGTCTGAGCTAGAGTTAGGCCCATGACGGAAGAGACTGTTGAGACCCATGTACAGTTTGGCCATTAATGCCATCATAGTTATCAAAAAGTTTGTTAAAGTTATAGAACTTTGTTCTATAAGTCCCTCACTGTAAGTAGATTTGTAAAAAATATTTATAGATTTTGGCTGTGCCGGGTCTTAGTTGCGGCATACAGGATCTTCGTTGCAGCACACAGGATCTTTAGCTTGTGGCATGCATGTGGGATCGAATTCCCCGACCAGGGTTCAAACCCGGGCCCCCTGCATTGGGAGCCCTGAGTCTTACCCACTGTGCCATCAGGGAAGTCCCATAAGTAGATTTTAAGTTCCTTCAGCACTTTGGCCTTTTTTCTGTCCCTGTAGTCCTCAGTAGAATGCATTCAAAGGATGCTAGGTCATGGGGTGATGTTCTTCATTTAATATTTTTTGAATGTCTTTGCACAAGGTTAAGTGTGCTTGCAGGCTGTACTTCCTCATGATGGTTTCAAAAGAGCTTTTCCTTTTCTGTCTTGCACCTGGTCAGGGTGAAGTAACCATGCAGGCATTTCTAAAAGGCACATCTATCAGCAGTAAACCACCATTGACTAAGGATCGAGGAGTAGCTGCCACTGCCAGAAGTAGTGGAGAGAACAAGAAAGCTAAACCTGTTCCGTGGGTGGAAAAATAGTAAGAACGCTTTTGTTTTTGTTGAAATAGTTAATAAATTATCTCTCTGACCAGTTTTGATCACTTTTTTTTTTTAATTTAAGAGGAGGATGATTTGCCTTGTTTAAATGTTGCCTTAAAAGTCACCCAATTATATAAGTCATAGAACCTTGGAACTGAAATTTACCTTAGAATAATCTAGTTGAATTCACGTATCTTCTGAATGAACTACAGCCTTCTCTGTAACTCAGGTCTACGGTTTTGGGGGCTGGGATACAGCAGTGAAGAAAACAGTTTCTATAAGCTCTTAGGAGTTCGACTTAAGTCCAAATAATCTGTTCCTCTTTTCACTACTGATAGCTGAAAATTGTTGAGTTTTTGTTTATACATTTTTGGCAAAAACAGCACCTGAAGTGGCTCTTTTTTTTTTTTTTTTTTTTTTTTTTTT